GTCACCTTTGCAACTGCCACAGCGTTCCCCTCGGTCGCTATGTTGGGGATTTTCCCGCCTGGGGGGGCGGGAAACCTTGTGTACGGCCATTTCCTCATCGGATTCTGATGGCGTGGCGGAATCATCTGAGGAATTTGGGCCCGACTTGTGGATCTTGTGGATCCCTCTTGCCTTCACCATTGTGGCGGCCGCTTTCTCGGAAGACAGGCTGTGGCTTCTTCAAGGACTTCCTTGAGCGGAATCCTCTTGCTGTTCAGGAACTTAGGTTTTAGGTTTTAGGTTTTATTTGATTTGTATACCGCCCTACTCCCGAAGGACTCAGGGCGGTGAACAGCCAACAATAAAATACATAAATACACAAAATTTAAAAACCCGATAAAATCAAATTAAACTTTTTGGCCCAGACAAATTAAAATACCCCAATAATTTAAAAACAGATTAAAATTTACATATTTTAAAAAGGGAAGAGATCAGGCCAAGCCCGCTTGATGGAATAAAAAGGTCTTCACAGCACGGCGGAAGGAACGCAGATCCGGGATCCTCCGTATCTCCGGGGGGAGCTCATTCCAGATGGTAGGTGCCCCCACAGAGAAGGCTCTCCCCCTAGGGGCCGCCAGTCGACACTGTTTGGCTGACGGCACCCGGAGGAGTCCCTCTCTATGAGAGCGTACTGGCCGGTGGGAGGCTATTGGTGGTAGTAGGCGGTCCCGTAAATAACCAGGCCCTAAGCCATGGAGCGCTTTAAAGGTGGTAACCAAAACCTTGAAGCGCACCCGGAAGACCACCGGGAGCCAGTGCAGCTCGCGCAGGAGAGGTGTTACATGGGAGCGCCATGTCGCTCCCATTACCACCCGCGCGGCTGCACCCTGCGCCAGTTGGAGCCTCCGGGTGCTCCTCAAGGGGAGCCCCATGTAGAGAGCATTACAATAGTCCAGGCGGGAGGTGACGAGGGCATGAGTGACCGTGCGTAACGAGTCCCGATCCAGAAAGGGACGCAACTGGCGAATCAGGCGGACCTGATAAAAAATCCTCCCGGTCACGGCCGTCAAGTGCTCTTCTAAAGACAGCCGTGAATCCAGGAGGACGCCCAAGTTGCGAGCCCTCTCCGTGGGGGCCAATGATTCGCCCCCAATAGTCAGTGATGGCGTCAACTGGCTATATCGGGATGTCGGAAACCACAGCCACTCGGTCTTGGATGGGTTGAGCCTGAGCCTGTTCCTCCCCATCCAGATCCGTACGGCCTCCAGGCACCGGGACATCACTTCAAGGGCATCGTTGGGGTGATCCGGGGTGGAGATGTACTTCTTCTGGAGACCCACATCCTGCATCCCAAAGACGATGTGGTCTCGGATGGCATTATCAACGTTGTCAAACTCGCAATTGGCAGCGATTTGACGAAGTGCTGCCACAAACTCTTTAATGGATTCACCTTCCCGTTGATTCCTCTGCTGGAAGGTGAATCTGTTTGCAATCGGGGTGCCTGTGGGTGCGTAGTGTTCCTGCAGGACTTCCTGCAGGTCACTCCAGGACATCTCCCCAATATCTCTGGGCGCCACGAGGTCGATGGCCATCTCTAGGATGTCAGAGCCGCAGTGGGCCAGGAACAGGGCTCTCTTGCGTTCATCGTCGAGGTTCTGGTAGCCGTTTCCTCGGAGGAATTGCCGGAATCTGACCATGTACGACCTCCATTTCTCTCTTGCCGGGTCGAATGGATTCAGTGAAGCGATCGGTGCTTGCAGGGTTGCCATTCTGTAGGATGCCACGGTTAGGTGACTTCAGCTTGGTTAAGGCGATCGTGCCACGCGTCTTGCTCAGGTTCTCTTCTCTAGTCCTTCGTCGCCAGTGTTAGATCAGGCACAGGGAAAGGAAGACGTGACCAGCTCGATACATTTAGTAACTTTATTGCAGCAGTAACAAGACTGGCTCAGCACTGCCGGAGCTCTCCTTATATTCACTCTGGCAAACGCACCGCCCCTAACACAGCTATTCAAACTTCCCGCCCGAGGCTGGCACCCAATGCGGGCGGGTGTCCTTATAAGGACATAACAAGCTAAAGCTTGGCTAACATAGGATTATGCAACAGGACAATGGACACAAAACACATCAGCAAATCTACAACAAAATGGCTGGAAAAGAAAAGAATCAAGGTGTTGCAATGGCAGTCAAAGTCCAGACCTCAACCCAATTGGCGGGACTTCAAGAAAGTTGTGCATAAAAAAACACCCACAAATCTCAATCAACTGAAGCAATGTTGTAAAGGAGAATGGGCCAAAATTCCTCCACAACGCTGCAAGAGATTGATAAAGTCATACAGAAAAGAATTACTTCTAGTTGTTGCTGCTAAAGGTGGTTCTCCAAATTATTAAATCATACTTTTTTTACACATAACTTCCCTGTTTTGGCTTTCTTTTTATAAAATAAAAGATGACCTGATGTAATATGTCATGTTGTTCCTTTGTTGTATTAACCTACTTTTAAGAACTTCTAAGGACCAATTGATTTTTACTATGTCCCAATATATATAATCATAGAAGTCAAGAAGAGTGTACTTTTTTTCACATGACTGTTTATCTGGAAGTCCTGAAAAATATCTCAATCATACCTTCTGTGCTAATGTCAATTCTGACCGGGACGCCTTGCGCACGGACACTCACGCCCTCGTCACCTCCCGTCTGGACTATTGTAATGCTCTCTACATGAGGCTCCCCTTGAAGAGCACTCGGAGGCTCCAACTGGTCCAGAATGCAGCCGCGTGGGTGGTTATGGGCGCACCTCGTTACGCCCATGTAACACCTCTCCTGCGCGAGCTGCACTGGCTCCCAGTGGTCTTCCGAGTGCAATTCAAGGTGTTGGTCACTACCTGTAAAGCGCTCCATGGCATAGGACCAGGATATCTACGAGACCGCCTTCTGCCACCAACAGCCTCCCACCGACCAGTTCGCTCCCACAGAGAGGGACTCCTCAGGGTACCGTCGGCCAAGTTATGTCAGCTGGCGACACCCAGGAGGAGAGCCTTCTCTGTGTGAGCTCCTGCCCTCTGGAATTAATTGCCCCCGGATATTCGTAACTTCTCTGACCTCTGGGTTTTTCGCTGTGCCCTCAAGACCCTATTGTTCCGACAAGTGGGGCTGTCAAATTGATTGATTTTAAATTGGGTCTTAATTTGGGGTTTTAAAATTCGGCCAAAACTATTTAATGATTTTAATTAATTTTAACTAGGATATTGTATATTTGTATTTTAATTCTGGCTGTACACTGCCCTGAGTCCTTCGGGAGAATGGGCGGTATATAAATAAAATTATTATTATTATTATTTATTATTATTATTATTATTATTATTATTATTATTATTATTATTATTATTATTATTCAGGAATCTGATCAATTTGATGTTTGCTCATATGTTGAGATTCTAAGGCCGAAGTTCAGGCCTCAACAGTCTCCTGATGCCATGGAAAGGTTCACAGGAAACCACTAGCCTGTCTGTTAGGCACGTGACCAAAATCACAAAAGGCATGCTTGACTATTTTTATAATTTCTATAATTTCTATATTTCTATACTTTATCTGTCGTGTCCCAGCTGCCTCTTATGTAATGAAGTGAAAGAAAAGAAATGTATAAATATCTGCCTTTCATTATGCTCAGGGTTCCTTCCTTCTTAGGAGGGACCCATCTTTATTCAGCTGAAGAAATGCATTGGCTTATCAACAAACACACTTGAACTCTCTTTTATTTTATTGAGCCACACCTGACAATCTGCATGACACTAACTTGACAGACGTGGGGGCTTTAACTGACCAAATGAGGCCTAAAGCCTCTGCAAGATTTGAAGCACCAGTTATGCCCATGGAAGCCATGAACTCCAAGAAAAGGCATAAAATACTTTCCACAACCCCTTTGGTGACATCCTAATTGAAGTAGTCCTCACTTACTGACTGCAATTGTGTCACTAAGCATTTTATTTCCAGCTCCTTTCTCCTGGCTTGGAACCTGACCGGATTTTTCTTCCTACAATTTATTTAGATTTTAATGTGTATGTATTATTTTCTGTCTCTAAGCCGCCCACAGTTATGTCATGGTAAGGTTGTGGCCAATACATTTTATAAATAAATAAATACAACTGAACAGTCAAAACATGCAATAGCTGGTTTTTAAAAAGTGCTGGGATAAGCACAGTTGAACCTGGTGAATACACGGATGGCGGCACTAATAGGAAAACACGATGCTTGTTAGCTAGAAATGGAAGCAAAACAACCCAGAAACGACTAGAGACACATAAATCCGATCTTGTTGCCCAGAAAACATCAGGTCCATAAGAGAATAATTGAGTTGGGGGGACCTTGGAGGTCTTCTAGTCCATCCCCTGTTCAGGCAGGAGACCCTATTCCGTCCAGAACAAATGGCTGCCCAATCGCCCCTCAAAACCCTCCAGGGACGGAGCAGCCACAACCTCTGGAGGGAAGCCATCCCCAAAGAACCAACCTCCACTTGAAAGAGGCTTTTTCAAGCTTCCCACCAGCAGAAATTGCAGCCCCCAGTTCCACAGCCTGCAGCACCAGTGGGCTTCCATTTGGGGAGGGAAGGAACCTGCAGCAGCCGCAGCTGAGAGGCTTCAGCCCAGTTGCTTTTCCGCATCCAGGCCGTGGAGGAAACCGAACAGCCCGACTTGCTCCCGGACTCTCCTCCCACCTGCAGCCCTCAACTCACCTCCAGCTGCTGCTTCGACCCTGGGAAGAGCACAAAAGCCGCTCTGCATTCCACTTGCCTCCCATCATTCATCCAGAAGAGGAAGTTCCTCTGCGCCTCTCCTCTCCTCCCATCCTTTCTAGCAATGCAGTACTCAATGGTTTAAAGACTCCTTTTTTAAGCGCAATCAGGGATGGCACCATTGAATTGATGGCTTTCTAGGCACAGACGTTGCCTGACTGCCATCTAGCGACAGGAGGTGGTAAAACACGCCTGTCCATTCTCTACCAAGGCTTTTGGGAGATGTTTTCGACTCCTAGCAGCCGACCTTTGCAACTGAGCCAAGTGAAAAAGTGAAACGTGACACTTCTTAGCTTCGTATTTGGTGCCTTTGGGTCAGTCTTGATGCCTGGCCTTTCAGTTTCCTTGGCAAAGGTTTTTGGAAGGTGTTCCCTCCTTTTCCTGCTTCGTAGGCCTGCTTACTTCCTTCCATGTGGGGATAGCTCCATTGACGATTACACGTTGAGTACGATTTGTCAAGCAGTTAGAAACTCACTTTGTGGTGGTGTTGCCTATCCCACATTTTTCTAGGTTGGCAAGAAGTAGGTAGGTTGTGATCTACTTTATCAAATGCTTTACTGAAATCTAAGTATACTATGTCTATAGCATTTCTCTGGTTCACTAATTTAGCCACTTTGTCAAAGAATGAAATAAAGTTTGTTTGGCATGATCTGTTTTTGATCAACCCATGTTGGCTACTGGTTATAACTTGTTTGCTTCTGGGTGTTCACAGATTTGTTGCCTGGATATGTTTTCCAAGATGTTACCAGGTATTAATGTCAGGCTTATCTGTCAGTAATTTCCTTGACGAATTTATTTTACCTGTTTTGAAGATGGGAACCACATCAGCTCTTTTCCAGTCCTCAGTTACAGGTAATCCTGAATTTACCACCACAATTGAGTCCAAAATTTATGTTCTTAAGTGAGGAATTTGTTAAGTGAGTTTTGCCCCAATGTACTACTTTTCTTGCCTCATTTGTTAAGTGAATCCTTGCTATTGTTAAATTAGTAATACGATTATAGCACAATCGTTAAGTGAATCTGATTTCCCAATTGACTTTGCTTGTCAGTAGGTCAGTAGATCACATGACTTTGGAACACTGCAACAGTCATAAATGTGAATCAGTTGTCGAACATCCGAATGTAAATGACATGACCATGGGGATGCTACCATGTTTTCCTGAAAATAAGACCCTGTCTTATATGTTTTTGAAGTCCGAAATAGGGGCTTGGCCTTGTTTTCGGGGGGGGGGGTGTCTTATTATTTTCAGGGTGCAGGAGGCCCTGGGCGGCCTGAGCACTCACAGCAGGGGATCCGGCAGAGAGAGGGTCCTTCTGCGTGCCGCCATCAAGCCCCTCCCCTCCTGCAAGTGTGTGTGGAATATGAGCAGCCTGAAGGCGCCAAGCCGCAGGAGCACTTGTGTACCTTTGCTCATGTGCCTCCCAGGCCTCACATCGATGTTGCTGACTATCCATCAGGGCTGCGGCTCCCTTAGCCCATCATCGCCTCTCTGCCCGGCTGCCCACAAAGCAGGGGTTTCCAGCTGGGCTTTTGAAGCTGCAGAGGCAGAGTTTAGAGGAGAGAAAGAAAGAGTTCTGCTGCCTTCTTTGCGTGCAACCAGCCAGCAGAAGCAACAGAAGTCTTTCTTTCTCTCCCACAAACTCCGCTTCTGTGGCTTCCAAACTCCAGCCAGGGCAGCGGCTGCTCTGGGAGTGTGCTTCCCGCTCTATGGTGATAGTCACTGGAGGCCTCCCCTTTCCCCCTGCTCTTCTCCGCTCCAATCGCCCCGTGGTCCCTCCACCCAAGCGCTGTCTGACTGGAGCACCCGCCAGCAAGCCCAGGAAGCCCCTTCGCCTTGGGAGTCACCGGACAGGATGGCAACCAGGCTGGACTCTTCCTGGGGAGGGGAGCTTCGCGGGACCCTTGCCCGCCCTCCCTTCTTCCTGCAGGCCCGGTTACTCTTCTCTGATGCCTGGCAGTGAGACGCCAGGCAGCTACGCCGAGAGCAGCCCCAACAAATGCAGCTTGGCTGGCCTGGCCATGGGCAGCACTCCGTGCCCGTGGTTGAGCTTGACCCTCAGTGGGCCAGCCAGAGCCTTCACAGGCGGCAGCAGCAGCAGCAGCAACACCTGCAGTGCCTCAGCCACCGCTGGTGAGAGACCTGCGCCCAGCTGTGGGCGGGTTGCCTCTGTGGTGCAGGGGCTTGGTGTACGGTCAGTGCCGGGGCGGCAGGGGGGCACATGAGTTTATAGGGATGTGGCTGTCTTGAGAGGGTTGGGGGTGAGGGACCTGTGTGTTTGTGCGTGTGTGAGAGAGAAAGGGTTGGGTGGGGTGGAGAGAACATTGCAAAGAACAAAGAACGAAGTCAAACTAGAGTCTTGGACTTTAAGAGAGTTAATTTCAATAAACTTAGAGCTTGGGAAGGATTCCACAGATGAGAATCCTCAAGGGGAAAACAAGAGCCTTGCTAGTACAGTGGTTTAAAGCACCCTGTTATTAACACAGCTGCCTGCAATTACTGCAGGTTCGAATCTTACCAGGCTCAAGGTTGACTCAGCCTTCTTTTTTTTTTTTTAATTTGATTTATATGCCGCTCTTCTCCGAAGACTCAGGGCGGCTTACAATGTGCTCAGCAATAGCCTTCATCCTTTTGTATATTTATACAAAGTCAGCTTATTGCCCCCACAAACTGGGTCCTCATTTCACCTACCTTAGAAAGGATGGAAGGCTGAGTCAACCTTGAGCCTTGGCGAGATTCGAACCCTGCAGTAATTGCAGGCAGCTGGTCTTAATAAGCTTAATAACAGGGTGCCTTAAACCCCTGTACTACCAAGGCCTTCCATCCTTTCTAAGGTAGGTTAAATGAGGACCCAGTTTGTGGGGGCAATAAACTGACTTTGTATAAATATACAAAAGTATGAAGGTTATTGCTTAATGCATTGTAATCCACCCTGAGTCTCCGGAGAAGGGCGGCATATAAATCAAATTAAAAAATAAATAAATAAATGCAAGAAGCTTGGGAAATTTTGAAAAGTGAGATTATAAAAGCCCAGTCTAGCCCAATACCAATGAAGAAGAAAAATAACAGCTCTCAAAAGAAACTAGCATGGCTGCACAAAGCGTAGACACAATTTACATAGACTTCTGTAAAACTTTTGATTCAGTGGTACATGACAAATTACTTCTAAAACTAAAATCTTATGTCATTTCTGGACTCCTACATAAATGGATAGCTTCCTTCCTGTCAAACAGACAACAAGTGGTCAAAATAGGAAGTACTCTATTAAATCCTGTACTTGTTAACAGTGGTGTTCCTCAATGCAGTGATTTAGGTACAACACTCTTTATACTTTACATAAATGACCTTTGTGATCATATTAAAAGCAACTGTGTTTTCTTCATTGCTGATGTTAAACTATTCAACACCACCGACAATGCAACTACCCTTTAAAAAGACCTTGACTATGTGTCAGATTGGTCTAACAAGTGGCAACTTCAAATCTCAACCAATAAATGCTCTGTCTTGCACATTGGCAAAAAAAATCAAAACATAAAATAGAAATTAGATGGACATGGAAAAGAAAAATGTCAAGGAAACAATTGGTCCTTTTTGGGAGAAAGTGGCAAGAAGGTGAGAAAGCAGTACTACTTAACTTGTTTTTTGCATCTGTCTTTACACAAAAGGAAAAAACAGTCCAACCTATCAAAAACAGCACCACAAAAAACAGATTAGGAACACAAGTTAAAATAGGGGGGAAAATGGTAAGTGAACACCTGTCTACCCTAGATGAGTTCAAATCACCAGGATCGGATGGATGACACCCCAAGGTTCTGAAGGAACTGGCAGACGAGATTTCAGAACCACTGAACTATATCTTTCAAAGATCCTGGAGCACAGGATTTTCCAGCCAGAGGACTGGAAAAGAGCTGATGTAGTTCCCATCTTCAAAAAAGGAGAAAAAAAAATAGATCCAGGAAACTATCAGCCTGACCTCAATACAAGGGAAGATTCTGGAAAAGATAATCAAGCAATGAATCAGTGAACACCTAGAAGCAAACAAAGTAATTTGTTAATTAATTTATTTATTAATCAAATTTCTATAGTGCCCTACTCCCGAAGGACTCAGGGCGGTGAACAGCCAAGATAAAATACAGATAATACAAATATTAAAAATCCCCTAAAATTATTAAATAGTTTGGCCGAAACACAGATTAAAACACCCAATTTATAAAATCACGAATTAAAAATTTAAAAGAGGAGAGTTAGGCCAGGCCAGCCTGCTGAAATAAAAAAGTTTTGAGAGCACGACGAAACGTGCGCAGGTCCGGGATCCTCCGTATCTCTGGGGGGAGCTCGTTCCAGATGGTAGGTGCCCCCACAGAGAAGGCTCTTCCCCTGGGGGCCGCCAGTCGACACTGTTTGGCCGACAGCACCCTGAGGAGCCCCTCTCTATGGGAGCGTACTGGTCGGTGAGAGGCTATTGGTAGTAGAAAGCGGTCTCGTAAATACCTCGGTCCGATGCCATGGAGCGCTCTAAAGGTGGTAACCAAAACCTTGAAGCGCACCCGGAAGACCACCAGGAGCCAGTGCAGTTCGTGCAGGAGGGGGGGTCACATGGGAGCACCACGTCGCTCCCATAACCACCCGCGCAGCCGCATTCTGGACCAGTTGGAGCCTCCGGATGCTCCTCAAGGGGAGCCCCATGTAGAGAGCATTGCAGTAGTCCAGGCGGGAAGTAACGATAGCATGAGTGACCGTATTTAACGAGTCCCAATCCAGAAAGGGACGCAACTGGCGAATCAGACAGACCTGATAAAAAGTCCCCCTGGCCTCGGCCGTCATGTGCTCTTCTAAAGACAGCCGTGAGTCCAGGAGGACACCCAAGTTGTGAACCCTCTCCGTGGGGGCCAATGACTCGCCCCCAATAGTCAGTGATGGCACCAACTGACTATATCGGGATGTCGGAAACCACAGCCACTCGGTCTTGGATGGGTTGAGCCTGAGTCTGTTTCTCCCCATCCAGATCCGCACGGCCTCCAGGCACTGGGACATCACTTCAAAGGCATCGTTGGGGTGGTCCGGGGTCGAGATGTACAGCTGAGTGTCGTCAGCGTACTGATGGTACTTCACCCCGAGACCACGGATGATCTCACCCAGCAGCTTCACATAAATGTTGAACAGAAGGGGCGAGAGAACCGACCCTTGTGGCACCCCAGTAAGAGTCCAGGTGTTCCCGAATCTGAGCGATTTTGTCATACAGATACTG